TTTTCATATTAAAACTCCTTAATCTATTTAATACAAAAAACGCTAAAATATAATATTTAATGTAAATCCGAAAACGTCACAATATAAAATAAAAGATGATACTACAGGGGTTGGACAAAAATATGGAAACACCTTTAAAAAAACATGTTTCTTTGCTTAATATGATGTAGGAAACCCGTTGGCATCCAAAACAGCTTGCAGTCTTCTCGAAATGGATAAATACAGTTCCTGTATGTTTGCCAAGGAAATATTATACCATTCTTCCTGCGAAACGGTGGCAAGTTCAGATAACGATGTTGGCGGTGGATAACGAGAACGCACTTTCCGTTCCAATGTAGACCACAAAGGTTCGATAATATTCAGGTCTGGTGACTGTGGTGGCCAGGGGAGATGGGACAAACTCATCCTCGTGCTCAGAAAAAACCAGTCCTGGACAATGTGAGCTGTGTGAACAGGGGCTTTGTCGTCTTGGAAGACACCATCACCATCTGGGAACAAAGTTTGTACCATGAGATGAACTTGATCGGCCAAAATGTTCACATAAGTCTTGGCAGTCATGTGACCTGACACAGTTATCATGGGGGCTAGCAGAGAACCACGATATGGCTGCCCAAACCATAACAGAACCCCCTCCATGTTTCACTCTTGGCAACAAGCAGTCTGTATTATAGGCTTGAGATGGCGTTCTCCAGACGTAAACTTGGCCAGAAGTGGGAAACAATGTGAAAGAAGACTCGTCAGACCATATTACTCGCTTCCACTGCTGTATAGTCCAGGCTTTATGACTTAAACACCACCTTTTCCTGTTACGGGCATTAGCATCACTAATGAGTGGCTTCTCAATTGCAGCACGGCCAGCAATTACCTATTTATGAAGCTCCCTTCTAATTGTTTTGGTACTCGTAGGGTTCGGTAACACAACATTCATTTCAGCAGTAACTTTTGCAGCTGTGGTCTTCTTATTTTTCGTCACAATTGCCCTTAATGATCGTCTGTCACGATCACTCAGGCGTGACTGTGCGTTCCAGAGTGATATCAAATTTAATATTTCAGAATATAAATATTTCTCTCCAGAAAGAGCAGTATCTTACTCTTTGACAAACAGCATGTCTATATGCGACATTCTGAAGGTAGAATGAGTTTCAAGCTAGCTGAAGATATTTCGCATTTTAAGCTATAGCCTTCTGGTAGATACTTTCCCGAACTACCCTCAAATGTATTATAACCCTCTGGATTTTTTTCAGGAAGTTATGAACTTAACATGTAAATCATAATTTAAGACATATGAATTTTTTTGTTCCGGATGAATGATTAGTGAATTATGCCTTGACAAGAACTTCTCTTTTAGGAAAGCTTGCATCACTCTTGAAAAATACTTTACAAGTGAAATTTTTAATCTAACGATTAACTAATGGACGTGTGGGTAGTGGGGGACTAGTGGGGCTTTTAGTAATACCGTGGGACTGAGAGCAAATTTTATTTGTAGATCAAGAACCTTCTCCCTTCGGAATGGATATAATCTTATTTTTTGATTCACAACTTGTTTATATACGAAATACTCAAGGAATAAATTTATACAAAGCATGCGCTGGAGTTAGAAGTATTTTTCCAAAAATATTCGCATCTCTTAATCCTTAACTTATAAGGTATTTCTTCAGCCTTCTTTATACCTTCGTAGTGTAGTGGTTAGTACGCTGGGAGCCTATTCGAGAGGTCCCTGGTTCGATTCCCGGCAAGGACATTGCTCATTTTTCTAGTCTCCTGCTTCTAAAAAATATCTAATCTCCCTACAGTGGCGCCCGAACTAAAAGGGTGGTGGATGATGATACTTCACACCCACGATTTGGCGATTGGGTCCCCTAAAACTCCAGTCGCTCTTTAAAAGCGGGCGTATATAACGTATTTCTCCCTCCTTCTTAGCATGCCTTCTCAGTGCTGTGGTCAGCACGCTGGGCGCGTATTCCAGAGGTTTGTGGTTCGATTCCCGGCGAAGGTGTTGCTCATTTTTCATCTTTCCTGTTTTCCAAAAATACTTAATGTCTCTACAAACTAAATTGTGTTAAAAATATGTTACGCACTGTGTGTTCTCTCAGAGAATATTATCATTTCATATTCGATGTGTATTGTACGATTTCATATTCATAATATATAATTTGTTTGTACCGAATGAACGATTCCTAAATTATGACAGAACATAGAGGTCTCTAAAATAGACCCAATTTTTCTTGTTTCAGTTTGCTTATGAAATATGGAGATATAACGGAATAATTAACGTGCCTTAAGATACATGTACTTCCAAATTTCTTCGGCAAATGTCTTTAGATACATGTTATAAGTTCAAATTTCTCCGGTGTTTGTTTATTTTTCAACCGTTAAAAGTTCTAACATTTATTTTCTAATCGAAGATAAACCACTTACCGTTCTCGCAGTTTTTTCCGGAATATCCGGGCTTGCAGATGCATTTATAGGTTCCATTTTCTACAAAACACGTGCCATTATTCTGACAAGGTTTCGTGCTGCACGGGTCTAGAAATAAATATAAAACTATAATTTACATTTCATTTGTTACTGAAAATTACATGTTCTAAAACAATTAAATTTGTCACACTAGTTTTACAACATGACATTAACGGCATTTCGAATCACTGTAAATGTCCGAATCCCATTTCAAACTAAATACTTTCGTCCTGTATTATATTTAAAGAAACTGAATAATGAATAATCTAACTGAATATATGTATTTTTCTCGCACTGTGAAAAAAAAAAACGGTTCCTAGATCCATCAAAATTTGAATAACATAGTCCTCTACCGGAACATAGAACCTGAAAAACCGAATTTTGAATTTCGAATATGTTTTATTATCTCTTTCATATTTTGTAAAACTTTAACGAATTTTTAATTAAGAAACTCAACGATTCCAAAGTGAGCAATAGCAACAATGTTAAAAAAAAAAAAAAAAAAAAAAAAAAAAAAAAAAAAAAAAAAAAAAAACGGAAAGGTTTTAGATTTTAAATTACATCTGAAGGGGCGTTTTTTTAACGTTTCGTGTATTACCTTTATTTATTAAATATCACGTTGTTTCACGTTTCAATAGCAATGTCGCAAAATAATTTTAAAATGAGCATATCTTTAGGATTTCCGATACACAGTTCCGCGCGCTAGAGATAAAAAGGTTCTTCCCCCCCGTAGAGTGTTGCCAGTACTCGCTTTTAAATCGTTGAGTTTGTTACTCAAAAATTCATTAAAGTTTTGCAAAATATTAAATCGATCATAAAACAAATTCCAAATTTCAAATTTGGTCTTCCACATGCCCACATTCGTAGAGAAGGATTACGTAATTCAAAATTAAATTGTATGGCTCTATGTACCGTTGTTTTATCACAATGCGAGAAATATACATATATTTATGCGAATTTTTCATTATTTAAGATTTTGAAATATAATGCAGAACTCTAACATTTGGTGGCAACAGTTTGAAAAGTGAAACGGACATTTATAGTAATTCAACGCAAAATCGCAAAACGAAAACAATAGTCCTTCAGGAACAAAGCCCCGCTGGACTAAAAAAAAAAAAAAAAAAAAAAAAAAATATCTGCAGCGCGCGAGACTGAAATTTTTATACGGTCTCAAATATTCTCACGTTATTGGAGGCATTAGTGGTTGCTGATATTGGAATTTGGTTCTGTTTTCATTTTAACAGATTTCAGACCATCTGTTTTCTGATTAGCAACATTTAAGCAGTTTCACCAAAGCTTAAGTAAATATAATTTGACTTTTTCTATTATAACCATTGAATATTTCAAATATATATATAATAATTGTTATGGTGATAGAGTTAATAGTGAATTATGCTTTTGTAATAGCTTTTCTTTCATCTTTGCCTACTTTTCAGTGTCCATGAGTCATAGTAGGGTTTGCTCTTATACAATGTTAATTTCAGCAGATCAAATGTATTATCATTTGAAGCAGTTTCAAAGTTTCAAAGAATGTGCGGAGTCTTTAGCTTGCTGCATTATTACAATTTCAACGTAGTTGAGACATACAAACGAGTATCTTCTATACATGTCTGACTTGTATTTTCCTCACAGTAGCGTGATTTCAATTTAACATATTTTCCTGCTTTCCTGTTTACAGTTTTCCTTTTTGGAAAAACTTTACAAATATCACAACAGTTCTTAATGCACCAAGGATACAACCAATATTCCAACTGAGATTTGTCGTTTGCGGATACTTGTTGTCTCGTCGAGTTAAACCTTCTAAAATGTTCATTGCATCAATTAAAAATTTCCCTAACCATCGATCTAAAACATTCAGCGCGTGCATTTATGCATAGATGTTAAACTATATTGAAACATTTTCTAAATTTGACCAATAAGGATGAGTTCAGCAGATGAAATAATGCAGTAATAAAAAAGAAAATTTTATATGCTTTTGAAATAAACCGATCTGAGAAGGGTAAAATAAAAAATGAGAATTCATTTAACCAATTTTTAAATTAACGTGAATACACTTGTGTATAAATAATAGAGTGAGAATAGAAAGATCATTTGTTTTACAAATATATTTGTTTCGTAGAGTTTCCCGGAGTATGGGGATTCATAATCGCAGGCAAATCTTTTGTTATCCCCACTACACGTACCATAGTACAGGGATCTCAACAGGATAACTAAAACTGAAGGAGACTCCCAACGAAAAATTTTAAGTTCATATGAACCAATTCGGGCGTAAATATTTAGTGTGGCAAACATTACATTTTTCGTTTATAAGTTTACCTATGTCACAAAGCTTTCCTGAGTATGGAAATTTGCAAGTACAGGTAAACTCATTCTCTGTTACGGAACGCGTTCCACCATTTCTGCACGGGTTCAACGCACAGGGATCTGAGCAAGAAAAAGCAAGTTAAGTAGTTTCGCTGTAAAAGCTTCGCAATTCATAGAAATTGTCTAGCAATGATATACTATTATGTGAAAGAATAAAGACGTTAGTTTAATAAATGTACCTTTTTCGCAGAATTTCCCTGCATATGGAGATTTGCAAATACAGGTAAATCCTTTGTCTGTAACAGTACATGTACCGCCATTCAGACATGGATTTGATGAACAGGGATCTGAGAAAGATGAGAGTCAAGTTAATGAATTATGTTGCGAGAGCTTTTCAATTCGTACCAAATTTCTTGCACTTTCTTGCAATATAAAGCAATAAAATATTTCTTGTGTAAATATACCTGTATCGCACAGTTTTCCTGAATATGAAGATTTACAGGAGCAGGTGAAACCGTTGTTGGTCAAGGTACATATGCCACCATTCTGACATGGATTTGATGAATAGGGATCTGAGAAAGATAACCGAAATTACGGTTTTCATTGAGAGAGTTTTGAAATTAGTATCAATTTTCTTTTAACTATTATTCTTCAAATAAATAAGTGCATTTGCTTGGTAAATGTACCTGAATCACACAGTTTTCCTGAGAATGGAGATTTACAGGAGCAGTTGAATCCTTTGTGGGTCAAGGTACATGTCCCATCATTCTGACACGGATCTGATGAACAGGGATCTGAGAAAGAGGAAAGTAAAATTAATTTAATTCTTTGTGAGAGCTTTATAATTCGTATGAATTCTGTTGCGATTAAACGTTTTTGTTTGAGATTTGTTTATTTGTTTTGCAAATGTACCTGTTTCGCACAGTCTTCCTGAGTATGGAGATTTACAGGAGCAGATGAATCCTTTGTCAGTCAAAGTACACATCCCATCATTTTGACATGGATTTGGTACACAGGGATCTGAGAAAGAGAAAAATAAAACTAAGGTATGCTTCTGAGGAATCTTTGAAAGTTATATGAATAGTTATTCTCTGAAATATTATTGTGTAAAGTCCTAAAGACAGCTGTTTTTTAAATGCACCTCTTTCGCACAATGTTCCCGAGTATGGAGATTTACAGATGCAGTTTAATCCATCGGCTGTCATGGTACAGGATCCGCCATTCTTACAAGGAGTTGATGAGCAGAGATCTGAGAAAGATAGAAGAAAAATTAATTAATTTCATTGTGAGGAACTTAACAATTCGCATGAATTTTCTTACTGTTGAGTAATATTGTCTGAAGCAGTAAAGACATTCGTCGTGTAAAAGTACCTCTTTCGCACAATTTTCCTGAGTATGGAGATTTACAGGAGCAGGTAAATCCTTTATCGGTCACAATACATGTCCCGCCATGCTGACATGGATTTAATGAACAGGGGTCTGTGAAAGATAAAAGAATAACTTATGCGCTTCATGAAGAGAATTTCGCAATTCGTGTCAATTTTCCTTCAAGTAATATTCTGTGAAGCAAAAAATACTTTTGTTTTGTAAATGTACCTGTATCGCATAGTTTTCCTGAGTATGGAGATTTACAGGAGCAGTTAAAACCTTTGTCAGTCAAAGTACACATCCCACCATTTTGACATGGATTTGGTACACAGGGATCTGAGACAGATAAAAATAAGATTAAGGTGAGTTTTACGATTAGTATGCATTTTCTTGCACATAAATATTTTTTTATGAATCAGTAAGAATTTTTCTTCTGTAAATATACCTCTTTCGCACAATTGTCCTGAGTATGGAGATTTACAGGAGCAGTTAAATCCATCCCCTGTCACTGTGCATGTACCGTCATTCTGACATGGATTTGATGAACAGGGATCTAGAAAAGATAAAATAAAATTAAGGAGTTTTACTGGAATGCAAATTCGAAATCACTGTTTGCATCAACTGCATGTTGCGTATCAATAGAATATATTCATAAAGGACAACCCTTATGACATGGATTATGATCATAGTGCAGGAACTTTATATCACATATAAGGTATTGGAACTCAACCCTCCAAAACTGTAACATTTCGCAAAGCATCTAGGATGAACAGAAGTCCGCAGTCAGAGCTGCTGTCTTCTGCATCAACAAAGAATTGACTCCAATCCTAACAAAAGCGGAAAGAGATATTTTACATTTCTCTCAAAACGCAGCATTATGAACTCCTAATAATGCAGTTCTACTCATCTCCTGGAAAAGACCTCTGTTTGAATCGGTAGAAATTAGATTTCCTAATGCAGAATGTCCAAAATTTCTAGCAAGCGACTTCTTTTATTGGCGACAAATGCCAATAAAAGAATATGGTATTCCCATCACAAAAATAATAAAGGTGATGTATTGGAAGACTTAATTTCTGCTAATAATATACGTACGTACAATAATAGCAACGCCCCTGGCTCTTTTCATACAACTTCAGACAGAGGATGGAATGATTTGATTCTCTCTATTATCATTATTGCAACAGCATCTTTAATTGTAGTTTTCTCGAAAAGGAATTGGAAGAATCTCTGTCTAATAATAAATAGTCTAGTATAGAAATCAACAAACAAGTTTGTATCAGAAGCACTCAGCGTTTTAGAATTCCAGACAGTGGCAGAAGAAAAACGTTTTCGTCTCTTAAATACCTCTAGTCCTAAATTACATGAAATTACCAAAGCGCAAACACTATCTAAAAATTCAGCTCGACCACACACACTCTTACAAACTTCATACTGCAATGAAATATTCAGCTACACACCTTCAGCACCCTCAGTGAAATACTCTAAACCAAACAATGGAATAGCCAAACTCATGTTAACAGGAGGGTAGCAGAATTATTGTTAACTGGTGGATAGCCAATTTCATGTTGACTGGTGGAGAGCCAAAGTACGTGCTTCAAGAAACAGAATTAAAACACTCAGAAGAATGATGAAAGCGTTCCTTCAGAAGAAGAAAGAAATTAAGCATATTTAGATTACTGAAAGCAAAAAGCTATTTATAAAAGGGAATTAAATGGATGCCAAATTAAAGAGTTGGAGAGAATTCTGCAGGAACATTATTAATTCTTTAAAATTCTCCATAAAATCTTAATTGGAAACGTTTTTAAACTAACTCAAATCACAATACCGTCCAATAACCCAAATTTGACAATGAAGCAACATTGTTCTCTTTGAAAGAAATAATGGATTCTGTTTTTGTAGCAGACTGTTCTGATAACGATACGTCAGAAAAGCCGCAGTCAGAAGAACAAAAGCATTCCAAGTTCTGGGGAAGAGCACTATTTTACTGCTAAAGAACTACACAGCATGCTCAAATAAAAAGGCACCAGGAGTGAACAGGATAAATAATAAAAATCATAAAAGTAATTCAAAACGCCTCACCTTGACTTGTCAGGACTTGTATGTAGTGATAATATAGTTTTAAAATAAAATAAATGTTAGTAAAACTTAAGATCTTTACAGACTACTTACAGACTTATTCAATAAATATTGTTAACTAGCAGTCTTCCCTGATAACTTCAAGACCGGCCATATCATTCATTTTCCCCAAAACGATCAAGATTCAGCAGTTTCGTGTTCATATAGTTCCATCAGTTTCCTGCCAGTAATTGGTAAAGTTCTGGAAAGAGCCATTGCGGAAGAATAAGGCACCATTTTCATAAATTTCAAATAATCAGCGAGAATCAGCATGGTTTCATACCAACTTGTTCTACAACCCGTGTTGTGGACGAAATACAATACAATTAATTACAAAATATTAATTTTAATGCTCATTCAAAGTGGCTTGTCTTGATTTAGAGGCATTTGAGTACGTCTAGTGGCCGTGCTTCAAGCTCTAAACCAGATAAATATCCCAAGAAACATCTTCATTATTACAAAAAACTATCTATTCAACAGGAGATGTATAATCACCGACAACAAGAGACCAACAGAAAATCGCCATACAAAGAGGATGTCTGCAAGGATCCTGTTTGAGCTGGGATCTTTGAAATCTTACCCTTAACTCTATCATATCACATCAATGCCCAAATCATACAAAAGCCTTGTCATTATCAGTATACGATTCATTCATTATTTCAGGCAGAACATGAGAACAACTTAACGATAGTACCAACCATACTGTCGCAATCATCAACCAACTGTGTAACGCACATACAGGAAAAGATTAAAGCGATGATGTTTCACAAGCCCCGGACAAACAATAAAACGAAATCCAGACTTTGAAATAAAAAGTAAGGAAATAAAGATTGTAAACAAATTCGAATTTCTTAGAATTACAGTAGATGGAAATTTTAACTGGATAAAACACCTTCATGATATTACAATAAAAACATCAAAAATAGCCGTTTCTATGAGGAAGAATGCGTAGATATGATTGGGGCTTAAATCCAAATATCCAGAAGTTACTATTAAAACCATAATAGAGAAAATTGTTAATTACGGATCTGCTATCTGGGTTATCATTATGATAGAAAGGAGGGAAAACACCTCTCCATCCAACGACCGTTTTTTCTCAACATAACAAAAGCTTTCTGCATTACTTCTAACGCTTGAAACGAGCGCACTCTTCGGAGTACCTTCTTCTTATAACTACGTATCATTGTGCAAAACAGTAAAGAAAACTTTCCTTTTGTAAATGTACCTGTATCGCACAGTTTTCCTGAATATGGAGATTTACAGGAGCAGGTAAATCCTTTGTTGGACATAATACACGTCCCACCGTTTCGACATGGGTTTGGTGTACAGGGATCTGAAAAGGATACAAAAATAAGGAATTTTAGTATGAAACCTTTTCAATTTGTATAAATTCGGTTGCGATTAGGCTTTATTCTCTAAAGCAACAAATATATTTGTTTTGTAAATGTACTTATTTCGCACAGTTTTCCTGAGTATGGAGATTTACAGGAGCAGGCAAATCCTTTGTCGGACATGGTACACGTCCCACTGTTTCGACATGGGTTTGGTGTACAGGGATCTGAAAAGGATACAAAAATAAGGAATTTTAGTATGAAACCTTTTCAATTTGTATAAATTCGAGCGATAGGCTTTATTCTCTAAAGAATATTTGTTTGAATGTACCTGCAAGTGTAGGAGATTTTACATGGTTCTGAAACAGGATCTGAAATACAAAATAAGGAATTTTAGTATGAAACCTTTTCAATTTGTATAAATTCGATTGCGATTAGGCTTTATTCTCTGAAGCAACAAATATGTTTGTTTTGTAAATGTACCTATTTCGCACAGGTTTCCTGAGTATGGAGATTTACAGGCGCAGGTAAATCCTTTGTCGATCAAAGTACATATCCCATCATTTTTACATGGATTTGGTACACAGGGATCTGAGAAAGACAGAAAAAAAAGGGATTGTTTTTAGAAGTCTTTGTAATTGGTGTGAATAGTTATGGTCTGAAATATTATTGTGTGAAAGCATAAAGACTTTTGTTTTGTAAAGGCACCTCTTTCGCACAATGTTCCTAAGTATGGAGATTTACAGCTGCAGGTAAATCCTAAAGATGTCATGGTACACGTGCCGCCATTTTTACATGGATTTGATGAACAGGGATCTAAATAAGATTAAAGGAAAAAATGAATTTCATTTTGAGAAGCTTTAAAATCGCACTAAGTTTCTCGCAATAAAGTAATATTGTCTGAATCAGTAAAGACTTTCGTTTTTGTAAATGTACCTCTTTCGCACAATTTTCCTGAGTATGGAGTTTTACAGAAGCAGAGAAATCCTTTATCGGTTACAGTACATGTCCCGCCATTCTTACAAGGATTTAGTGAGCAGGGATCTGATAAAGATAAAGAAAAATTTATGAGATTCCTTGAAAGAATTTTATAGTTTTTGTGTGAATTTCTTTTAACTGTTAGTCTGTGAAGCAGTAAATACATTTTTTTAGTAAATGTACATGTATCGCACAATTTTCCCGAGTATGGGGTTTTACAGCTGCAGGTAAATCCTTTGTCAGTAACGGTACATATTCCACCATTCTGACATGGATTTGATGAACAAGGATCTGAGAGAGATAAAAGAAATATCTATGAATTTCATTGTGAGAGTTTTACAGTTCTTGTTAATTTTTTTTTGCATTTAAGTGTTATTGTATGAAGCAGTAAAAACTTTAATTTTGTAAATTTACTTGTATGGCACAGTTTTCCTGAGTATGGAGATTTGCAATTGCAGATAAACCCTTCAGCTGTAACATTACAAGTCCCACCATTCTTACATGGATTTGATGAACAGGGATCTGAGAAAGATAGAAAAAAAGTATTGAGTTTCTTTGCGACAACTTTAATACTGGCATGAACTTTCTTGCAGTTAATGAAGTAATAAAGTTAAGTAATAATGTCTGAAGCAATGAAGACATTCCTTTCTTAAATGTAAAATTGTGCGAAAAATCGCACAATTTTCCTGAGTATGGAGATTTACATGAGCAGGTAAATCCTTTATCGATCACGGTACATGTCCCGCCATGCTGACATGGATTTAATGAACAGGGATCTGTCAAAGATAAAAGTATAATATTTGAGTTCCATTGACGGAATTTTACAGTTCTTATCAATTTATCTATTAGTAGTAGTCTGCGAAGCAGTCAATTATTTTCATTTGTAAATGTACCTGTATCGCACAATGTTCCTGAGTATGGAGATCTACAGGTGCAAGTAAAACCTTTGTCGGTCAAAGCACACATACCACCATTTTGACATGGATTTGGTAGACATGGATCTGAGAAAGGTAAATATAAGGTTAAGGAGTTTTGCTGAGAAATCTTTGAAATTCGAATGAAATGTTATTCTTTGAAATATTATAGTGTGAAGCAATTAAGCTCATTTTTTTAAAAATATACCTGTATCGCACTGATTTCCTGAGTATGGAGGTTTACAGATGCAAGTAAATCCTTCGGCTGTAACGGTACACGTTCCGCCATTCTTACATGGATTTGATGAACAGGGATCTGAAGATAATAGAAGAAAATATAATGAATTTCATTGTGAGGATCTTACCAATTCGCACGAATTTTCTTGCAGTGAAGTAATATTATCTGAAGCAGTAAAACCATTTGCTGTATAAATGTACCTCTTTCGCATAATTTTCCTGAGTATGGAAATTTACAGGAGCATATAAATCCTTTATCTGTCACGGTGCACGTCCCGCCATTGCGACATATATTTAATGAGCAGGGGTTTGCGAAAGATAAAAGTATAATTTATGAGTTTCTTTGAGAGAAATTCACAATTCCTGTTAATTACTGTTAATATTGTTTCAAGAATTATTTTGGGAAGCAGTAAATACTTTTGTTTAATTAATATAGTGCCTGTATCGCACAGTGTTCCTGAGTATGGAGATTTACAAGTGCAGGTAAATCCTTTGGCTGTTACGGAACATGTCCCACCATTCCGACATGGATTTGAGGAACAGGGATCTGATAATGACAAAAGAGAAATCTATGAATTTCACTGTGAGAGTTTTAGAGTTTTTATTTTCAAGCAATTAAGTATTGTATGAAGCAGTAAAGACTTCTCTTTTGTAAATGCACCTGTTTCGCACAGTTTTCCTGAATATGGAGATTTACAGATGCAGGTAAATTCTTCAGCTGTAACGTTACAAATGCCACCATTATTACACGGATTTGATAAACATGGATCTGAAAAAGGTAAAAATAAAATTAAGGAATTTTACTATGAAATTTGTGTGAATTATTTTGCGCTGAATTATTGTGTGAAGCAGTAAAGAACTTTCGTTTTGTAAATGCACCTCTGTCGCACAATTTTCCTGAGTATGGAGATTTACAGGAGCAGGTAAATCCTTTTTCAGTCAAAGTGCACATTCCTCCATTTTGGCATGGATTTGGTATACAGGGATCTGAAATCATGAAAAGAAATTTAAGATATTCTACCGTGAAAGCTTTTCAGTTCGTATGAATTCTACTCTGGTAAAGTATTATTGTGTGAAGCAACAAAGATAATTGTTTTGTAAACATACCTGTTTCGCACAGTTTTCCCGAGTATGGAGGTTTACAGATGCAGATAAATCCTTCAGCTGTAACGTTACAAATACCTCCATTCTTACATGGGTTTGATGAACATAGATCTGAAAATGGTAAAAATGAAATTAAAGAATTTTTCTATGAAAGCTCTGAAATTTGTGTGAATTGTTTTGCTGTGATTTACTGTGCTAAGCACAAAAGAACTTTTGTTTTTGTAAATGCTCTTATATCGCACAGTTTTCCTGAGTATGGAGATTTACAGATGCAGGTAAATCTTTCAACTGTAACATTACAAATGCCACCATTCTTACACGGATTTGATAAACATGGATCTGAAATAGGTAAAAATAAAATTAAAGAATTTTACTATGAAAGCTCTGAAATTTGTGTGAATTGTTTGGCGCTAAATTATTGTGTGAAGCTGTAAAGAACTTTCGTTTTGTAAATGCACCTCTATCGCACGGATTTTCCGAGTATGGGGATTTACAGGGAGAAGTTAAATCCTTTCACTGTCTCGGTGGAAATTCCGCCATTATGACAGGGATTTGGTATACAGGGATCAGAAAGGATAAAAATAAATTTCAGGCGTTTTACCGGGAAAGATTTTCAGTTAGTAGAATTCTTTTCCGGTTAAATATTATTGTGTGAGGCAGTAAAGAGAATTGTTTTGTAAACATACCTCTTTCGCAGAGTTTTCCTGAGTATGGAGGTTCACAGATGCACGTAAATCCTTCAGCTGTAACTTTACACATGCCACCATTCTTACATGGATTTGATGAACAGGGATCTGAGAAAGAATAAAATAATATTAAGGAATTTCACTGTGAGATCTTTACTTTACGTATGAACTTTCTTGCACTTAAATTTTATTGCATGGTACACAGGGATCTGAGAAGAAGAAAAATGAATTCATGCAGTTCGTATGAATTCTTTGCATCCGAATATCATTTATGAATAAGTAAAGACATTCGTCTTGTAAATATACCTATTTCGCACAGTTTTCCTGAGTATGGAGACTTACAGGTGCAAGCAAATCCTTTGCTTTTCACCTTACAGGTCCCGCCATTTCGACATGGTTTTGACGTACAGGGATCTGAGAAGAATAAACATAAAACTATGAAACTTCACTATGAAATCTTTCTTAATTTTGTGAAATCTGTTATGCCTATATATTAATGCATGAAATATTATGATAAATTTTATAAGAGAATAATTAGGAATAAATAATATGAGAGAATTACGTTAAATTGCACACAAATGTCGATAATTCCATTATTTCTAAAGGCCTCAAGCTATAGTTTAAAGTTTTGTGTATAAATACTAATTTAATTTCTTAAATATATTTTTACATATATGATGAATCACAGGGAAAAATGATTTACCTTTACAAACACCGTTTTCTTCTTTATATCCTTTTTTACAAATACATTTTTTAGTTTTGTGCCGGTCATTTAAAAACGTGCAGTTTGAACCTTCACCACATTTGCATTCTGAAATAGTATATAATCATCAATACAAAATGCATTTATGAATAATAACATAAAATGAAATCTCAGTAAGGAAAAGAAAATGATCTTAAGGATCACGAACAAACACTAGGTAGTGAAATTTGTCAAAAATTTTGAGCAATATTCTACAGCGGCGTTGTCGTACCCACGGCCCGCGGGTGGCATGCGGCCTTCTTATTAATTTTGTTGGCATTTTCCCTTCTTACTGGGGAAAGAAAAATTACACATTTGGAAAAACAAAAGCCCCTTCTTTCTACTTTAAGTAATATAATTAAATATAAATAATTAGATTAAATATAATTAATTATTAAAAATTAGGCTCAGTAAAAACAATGAAAACTGTTGTAAATATTGAAAATTTAATAAGGGGAGGCAAAACCCAGAGACACAGAGCATTTATTGCATTTGTAGCCAATTTAGATGTTGAGTATAATGGCATTTCATTGTACCGTCAAGTGCGCTGGCAAAGTGCTGAAAATTGTCTGAAAAAAAAAAAAAAAAAAAAAAAAAAAAATTGGGCATGACTATTAAGAAAAATTGGGAGAAATCCAGTTTTTTTAAATAATCTTGCTTGCTTTTCTGGCAGAGTCAACATCTCATCTAAATACTTTGTAGTTGAAACTACAAGGCAGAAAACAAAATATATCCCAGCTTTTACGGACATATTGAAGGCTTTCACAAAAAACTTAATGTAATGCAAATTGCCCTGAAGGCAAAGAATACGACACACTCACCATTTTGTTAGCAGTTGAAAGAAGAAAATGACACAAATTTTAGTATCTTTATTTAAATAATTACAGATATCATGAAAGATTTCCAGAACAAATTTTAGGATTTTGACTGCCTAAAAACAAAACTTTCATTGTTAAACAACCCCATGGAGATTGACGTAAGTGAGGTGATTTGCGACCTTCAAATGCAAATTTGTGGTCTTCAGGCTAAAACTAAGGCCATTCTACTAAACTAAGAAGTGTGTTGTCAACATTTCTGGATACTGATTTATAAAGAACGCTTTCCCAAAGTATATAAATTCTGTTTGCAAATGTTATCGCTGTTTGGCAGTACATATCTGTGCGAAAGTGCTTTTTATGCTCTCGAACAAGTTAAATTAAAAGCGAGAAATCGCACTGAAAGTACTTCCCTGGAATCGAGCTTGAGACTTTACCTTACTGAAATGACAGTGGAAAAGTGAAGATTGATAAACTTGTATAAAAAAAGCAGTGCTAATCATCACATTGATTTCTAGACTAAAATAAAGTGATATATTATGGTGGTGATTTATATGTAATTAATTTTCTTTCTTTAATGTCTCTGGCCCTAACTCTCCTATACTAACGTTTGCTTGGCTCTCGGGTAGATAGAGGTTGGACCACACTGTCACACTGTTCTACAGCATAACCCAGGAAAAAATACGCAAAAGGAAATTAAAGGAGCAACAATAGATTTTAAGCAGTCAATCACACGTTATGGAAAGCGAAATGTTGAAGATGATCACCTTATAAAATTTTTAATACTATTTATTAATATATTTGTTTTCAAAAATTAAGGGGAAAAATCACAAAAATAGCGATAGCACATTAAAAAATAAACCAATCAATGAATCAGTGTAAAATTTGAGTATTCTGTCAAATAAGAATTGCTGAATGAAATGCGGTATGGAAATTAGTAGCGTTGCAAGCAAAATGTGTCATCTGCGAAGAGCATAAAATTTCATGTTTTAGAATAAGCCTGCAAATTTCGCTGTGTTACCAAGATAAGAAATCTGGGATAGCCAGTTTGTAACAATAACCTCCAGGCATCATTTGCCTGAAGAACTGTGATGGAGAGCTATTAGGAGACTAGAGGCAGGACAAAGACAGACAGAAGTGTCCAGATGACTAAATGTGATTCCTTCTGTGGTTCACAGGCAAAAATTTCTAACCACAGAACCGACATGTAGGCGATTCAGGCAAGGACGGCCAACCGCTGCGACGAGCTCTGACGACAGATATTTATTGCTATTCGCATGAAAGAATAGAATCTGAATTCCGACTCAGCTCGGATCCTTCTTGCTGCAGCCACTGGAAGGTTGGTGTTACCGTGAACTGTGCATAGAAGGCTTCACGAAAGAGTTCTGTACGCAAGGCGACCAGCCATTTGCGTGCCTCTCACGTCAGAAGGGAACGTTTGAGGTAGGTAGCTCAACATGTTCACTGGACAGCTGCTCAATGGAGGCCTGTTCTCTTTAATGATGAGTCTAGGTTTAGCTTCCACAGCAATAGTAAGCGCTAATTGATTTGAAGAGAAACTGGAGCCCGTTTTCTTCCATCAAACATCCGTGAAAGAGATGCATAGGGATGATGCAGTGTCTGCGTTTGGGGTGGTCCCTTTTGGGCTGAGCCTCAGACGTCCATGCGTTTCCACCGGGAACCACGAATCCTTAGGAACCATGATTCATCCTTAGGAACCATGAAAGAGATGCATAGGGATGAGGCAGTGTCTGTGTTTGGGGTGGTACATATTTTGGTGGAGCCTCAGACGTCCATGCATTTCTACCGGGAACTATGAATCCTTCTTTGTCCTATAGAGATGACGTCCTTGATGCTTATGTGCACTCTTATGCTGGAGCATTAGGTGATAATTTTCTCATACAGGACATCAACGTTAGAACGCACAGAACTCGCATCGGGGATAGTATATCTTCAATAGCGAACAATTCAGCGCATGGAGTGGCCAGCTCGATTACCGAGCACGTTTGGGATGCTATAGGTAGAGGTATAGGTGCTGTCAGTCCTCATTTTCAAATCCTTGCCACGCTTGCAATTGCTTTGCAAGAGCAATGGCTCTCACTTCCTACGGAACCGATAGACTGCATAATTGAGAGCATCTCAGATCGTTGCATGTGTTGTATTGCTTCTAGGGGAGATCATACTCCCTATTGAAAGTAATTTTCCTATACCAGATTGTCACGTCAGATTTTCTCATTTTATACATATGCTAATTTCTGTAACATCGTAATTGTGTGTTAATTTATTTCTTTTCATGTTATTTTATACTTTGCTATATGCATACTGTGGGTCAGTTTCATTAAATTCCACATATAACGTTTTGAGTAATCGTCATTTTTCTGATTTTTCCTTAATTAATGATAACCAGTGTACTTTCTCTGATTTTGATATTTATTCATTGCTTTGAGTATTTGAAAGATAAATATCTGAATTTTTAAGTCTTTAAACTGACTATCATTAAAACAAAAATATCTTGGTCCCGATAACTTATCCGAACCCTTGAAGCACGTGATGCAATAACCCTTTAGTTAGGTTATGGAGTCACATTTCACTCTAATTAAAATTAAAATGTTGCATTTCTAGAAGTATAAATGAGCTAATCTTTTCTTTTATAATACGTAATGGTACTGCAAGTTTTCATCTTGTTTTTGAAGTTCTAAACTGTTTAAATTCAAAAGATCTCTTTGGGCATAAGAAACCAATTCACTCTTCCGATTGAGTTTCTTTTCTTTTAGGTAGTATTCCTTCTTTTAAATTTAAAATGGAATCTTTTCTCAAAAATAATAATTTTTAAATAGATTTTAATGAAATAGCGTCTGAAACTGGTCTGACGACGAAGCGAGATGAAACTGGTCTGAAGATTTTAGGATATCATATAAAAAAGAAATTTTCCGTTTAATGGAATATGGTAATAAATGGTAAACGAAGATGATTACATTGTGATGGTAGTGTTTCAGTCATCAGTCACTTAACGGAACGACGGGTATCTGCAGTATGGTTTCAAATCCACAAAATATTGCCATTCCGGCTTCGAGTCACATTTTAATTTCATGAGCGGGTTATTCAGAAAAATTTTTCTTTATGCAAATTATCGCTTTCTTAAAAAAATATTTTTTTTTTTTATATAATTTCTACATGACATCTTACCAGATTTTATTTGATGATTTAACATCTAGAATGCTGGAGTCCCAACGATTCCGCATCCTGGACTTCAGTGACGTGCCGTGGTTTTTACCGAAGTGGATGAAGAAATGTATGAAGAAAAGTTATGCATGGACAGTGCTGGTAGTTATCTTAGAGGAGTTAAATTCAGTAAAAATTTTATTTATGTTTCTGAAACACTAATCACCTTTCCAATGTAGCATGTGTTTCAAGCCTTTCACACACGTATTGATAATTTAAGGCTTCATGAAGCAGTTCATCTTTGAAATTTGGCGAGTGCGATATGTTTGCGAGTTTTCCTGAAAACAAGTGATCTGAATAGACACCTGAAATTTCATGAACGAAATTTCAAATGTCCTAAGAAGTTTAATGAAGTTGATAGTGTGAAAAGTCATGAAGAGTCTCATCTTAGAAGATGTAACGAATGTTCGGACGTTTTTTCATGCAAAAAGGATTTAAAAAGACATATGAAATCTCACAAAATTACTTTTAAATGTAAATCATGTTCAAAGATATTTAGTGAAGTTCAGCATATAAAACATCATGAAGCTTCTCATTTAAAATTTTTACTGAATATTCGGATGTTTTTTTCAATTAAAAGCGATTTAGAAAGACGCATGAAATCTCACAAAATTACTTTTAAGTATAAATTATGCTCAAAGTATTTAATGAACTTGATAATCTAACCAACATGAACTTTACATGTTAGACGTTGTACTAAATGTTCGGATATTTTTTCAAGTAAGAGGGATTTGAAGAGACATATGAAATCTCATGAAATTATTTTAAATACAGTAGTTGTACAAAATGATATACTGATAATGATACTTTGAAACAGCATGAAACTTCTCATCTTAGAAATTATACCCAATGTTCACAAGTGTTTAAACGATTCTCCTGGCTCCCTCACATCAAGGATTTTAAAGAAAGGCTGCATAAATTGTTTAATACATTGCGGCATGGTGGGTCAATATATGTCCCACTTAATTAATATTTATTTTCTCAGTTAGCAGTTTCCGTTAGATATTTTCTAATCTTTTAAAAATAATCTAT